TTAACTTTTAATTACTTTGGGGGATTTAATCACTTTCTTGCTGAGAGTTAAATGAGAAAATCAACTAAATATAAGTCCAGTACAGACTTTTCTGTTTTCTGTTTCTATGTATTCAACACTAAAGAGAAACCAAAGTCCGCTGGACAGATCTGAATCGTGATGAGTTCACTATAACAGCAGGAAGGTGGATCGTTCCCAAAATGTCACAATTTCGTTGACATCGACATAATTGTGGTTCAAAACCTTGAGAAAACCCATGATGGGATTTTTATCTGACTTTGTTGTTGTGTTTGAAGGTTGGCTGAAGGAGGAGCGCACATGTTGCTGAGCGCACACACATCCATTGTTTTCCACCACAACACAATGACTGCTTTTCCCCTACGTGGAGGAAACTGCCTTTAAATATCACAGACACGACTCTCACTTGTTTATCAGCATGGAGAGAAGGAGGAGAGATGCTGGTTTTTTGTGGTTCGTTATTTATAAGATAGTTTTAGAGACTTTTCACCTTTTATTTATAGGTGTGACGAAAGCATGAAATGAAGTGAGACAGCTGGGGAGACATGCAGCAAAGGGCCTGGTCTGAACCTGAGGCCGCAGCCTCAAGAAACTCTGAGTTACTGACATTATCCCCGTCATTCAATGTCTGTGTTTTTCAGGCTGGACATGACGGCGAGAACGTTGGGAACTGTCCCTTCTGCCAGAGGCTGTTCATGGTTCTGTGGCTGAAAGGAGTGAAGTTCACAGTGACCACTGTTGACATGAGGAAGTAAGCACCCCTCCTCTGGCACAAACACTTCCTGAGCATCTGGTCGTGGGGACTTTCACACAGAACTCTATACAAGAAATTGAGAAGTTTTAATAATCCAAACCATAGCTCACTTGTCAGGTACGCTCTCCCACTAACTGAGGTCAAAGGGAGGGGCCTGTAAACTCAACATGTACAAAGAGCTCAGTGTCGCCTTCAGACAAACACCGTCTTTAATCGAACCTTTTTTTATTGTGTGAATTTCTCAGGGTCATTACCGGTGAGCAAATAAGACCAGGAAACTTTGAAAGGATGCTGATAATTGAATGATTCAGAACACACACACGCCTCTGAAATAGGCGGCCACTCCCAGCGCAGTGTTTTTATAACTAAACCAACAGCTGATATTGAAATTAATCCCATACACCACATTTGATTCTGACAACCGCCATAACCAACAGGCTCAGTTCTGACACGCTTGATAACAGTCTGATTGTAGCACTGGAGGGAAACGTATATCAAAATCAAATCTCTCTCCCTCCTTGTCCACCTCTTTCTGTCCCTCTTTCGATGTCTTTCCAGGAAACCAGCAGAGCTGAAGGACCTGGCCCCGGGGACCAACCCTCCGTTCCTCCTCTACAACGGCACCCTGAAAACAGACTTCATCAAGATCGAGGAGTTCCTGGAACAAACACTGGCCCCACCCAGGTATCGCTGCATGTGCTCAATCATTTTGTACATTTTCATAAGGAGTGAATTTAGTGATGGCTTCTTCTCACTGCACATGTTTACTTTCTCTTTTCTCCCCCCCCC